CGACTCTAAGGTAAGGGGCGAAGGCACTAAATGATGCACCACACATAGGAGAGGAAGTCTTCCAACTTGGGTCTTTACATTACAAATGGGTAACAGTCGACTCACCCTTTCCTTTGTCTGGATGTCAGTCTGTCAGTCATTCCGTGTGCCTGCCAGCTTGTAAGAATTAGTGGCCCCCTGGCATCATAGTGTTGCATCTTTATACTTGATTGCAGTGCAATACTGTATTCATGATACACCAACTAGTTGGGCAGTCCTCCTACGTATCAATTACCAGGTGCACGCACCGGATTGAAGACACCATCTGCTATTCGTAGAGTAATTCCTGAATCCCTTCTCAAATTTTTTTTTTTGTACATCACACACACAGATATACTATAATGCATGCACAGATGTGTACATAGGTGCAATACTCATCACTCGAAATACATGACTGCTGTGAGCAATTTCTCGTGACTGACCATGCCATAAATGTTGCAAATCTAGGTCAAATGCTGGCTCTGTAAGCTACTTAAGTCAACATTACTCCGATAGGACAGGAACTGTAGACTGCTGGAAACGAATGTGCATTACTTCGCCCTAATGCCCCTGCCACAATGGAGGTGCTAATGCCATTAGGTTCTACTGTCATTCTGAGCAACGAATGCCATCGTTCATGATGTCGATAATTCCGAAAAAAAAAAATGGCAGTAAAAGTTGAGCAAGGTACATGTAGAGTGATAAAAAAGTGAAATTATTCATCTTAAAAGACATTCAGGAAGTCGCTTTGCTAAATAATAGAAATTGTACTATTGCAAAATATATGGCTACCATAAGCCTAGGTCCTAGGTGATCTGCTTAGCCAGTAGCCACAGCCGTTAGAATAAACACAAGCATTACGACATGCGTGGTGCGACGATGAAGAAAGAAAGGGTAAACGAACGTGTCGCATTTATTTAGGTTTCCTGGAACACAAAGAAACCGATGCACATGTGGCATAGTTTGTGGTGCGACTGCACACTTAAAAACCCACAATGTTCCACATTTTGCTTTAAAACTCCGTTTCTCCCATGCGTCCATGTGGGTGAACAGCTTGCAACGGAACTGCCGTAGCCTTACGAGAACAAACGTCTCCTCCTGGGTTCATTGCACTCATGCAACCGAAGCAATCACTGCAGATGCATGCATACACGGGCACAGAGGTCTGCTCCTTTACATCGTTGCTGACAGTGCCGGCGGCTGGACGCTACTGAGGTAGAGAGTAAGGGACATTTTAAGACAGCCTCATATACTCCTGTCCTCCTTAAAACAATAGATCCCTTAAAAAAGCAACATTAATATAGTGTTTCTATGAATTTGGATCAAATCGAGAATGCCACAAGCCTTCTTTTGAAGTAGTGTCTGAAGTAGAGTACACATTTGGTTCGACCATGGGTGTTCTGTCGTTCGACTGCGACCATACTGCGATGGCAAATGTGTTTCTTGCAACTCATTCGACTATTTAAGTAATTCGAAGAATCTATTCTAATGACATCATATGTCGCCAGTTTAGCAGCTGCGAAATGTTATTAGATGCGAATGTCGTTTCATTGGAATGACTGTCCAGTGTGACAGGGGTATAAATTTCGCATCCACAAAAGCTGAACATAGTTTTGGCGGCTGCATTTCGATGGAGGCGAAATAGTAGAGACTTGTTTAGTGTATAATGTACGTTACTAGACAATGCAAGTTTTTTTTATATGAAAGTCCTGCGAGTAAGGCTCTTGTTCGTTTTCAAGCACGAACACCACACAGAGGCAGAAATACTTTTTTTCCAACTGGTACGAGGCTCCTGTGACTAACAAAAGTTTATTAATTTCCTAATTATTGACTTGAGGGTAGTTTATGTTAGACATCTCCGTATTTTAGAAATCGCGAACGTTGCACGTAAATAGAAATATTCGTCATAGAATATCAAGGGCAATATAAAACCCGACAACGCTTGGTGCATTTGAAACAAGACCAGCTTGTTACCCTAGACCGAAGCTGTCTGTGACATGGAAGTGATGTAACTTTGAATCGAGGCGCGTCGTGGTCGTACCTTTTCACAAAAAGCAGCGAGTCGTCTCGCTTGCGCCAGCAGATGTCCTTACCAATTCGCGTGGTTTTTGCTACTTGTCTGTTTCTTTTGTGTCCGCAACAAAACTGCAATGTCAACCTTTCTTTCTCCTCATCAAGCATAAAACTCTGGGGCAGCCATTGCGGTGCTATTTGCAGACGAGCGAAATAGTTTTTCATGCCCTTTTATACTTTAGGAAAGAAAGAGACAAGTGGCGCATATCACACCCAAAGAATAAGTTGTCTACTTGACTATTTCAGAGTGCTTGTCGGTTTTTCCGACTAGAATCTGCTTTGGTGCAGCTTGATTCTAATTTTGCCACTCGTCATGTACAATTCTGGTCTTGCATAACAATGAGGCTGCTTCTTCTTTAGCATGTCAGGTGAAGGCATGGTTCGATGATGCCTTAAAATTCTATGATGAATATCTCAAATTACATGCAACTTTCGATATTTCTAAAGAAAAAAGGGTCAGCTGTAAACTACAAGTTTCTAATACAGAACACACTGCTTGCATGAGAAAATAAAGTTAATTACCAAGTTCTTGTGAACTAGTTGCTTCGATGTAGGTTTAGCCATGCTAAATTAATTCTACTTTGACATAGAATTTGTGAGTGAAAATGGCAGAAGTCTGAACATCATAAAATTTCATTATTAATCTGTGTGGTATTAAAAAAAAGCACCCTGTGGTGTTGCACCCTCTCTCCCATGTCTGAAATTGGCCATGCCCCCCCTTCCCCCCTTCCGCTAGGTTGTCTTGAAATAGTGTCAGCAGGACTACCTTTCCCCTATAAAAGAGGCTTTAACATGTCGTTACACAGAGTTCTGAAGAGGCAGCTGCAGTGGAAACCGCTTCTCAGCGCTCAGACCACAGAGACAAAGCTGCGGTCCTTGCACATCAGGAGGACTCTACCAATGAACATCACATAGTGGACATGATGCATGCGGAGGGTTCCAAGCAAGACGAGCATGCTGTCGGTATCGAGCCAGCCAGCGGTGCTCCACCGGCTTCCGGCGATGGAGCCAAGCCAGAAGAAAACGCGGCCCACGCCGAGGTTAGTCTCATTCACTATGCACAAAACTTTACAAGTTGTCATAAAAGTATGATAATGTAAATTTTTTCAAATGGGATAAGGACACTTCTCTCAAAGATTTGTAAGCAGGTTCCACAAAGTCTTAAAAAGCAGTCCAAAGTTTAATGAACAATAGAACGCGAGAACTTTATGCGTTGAAAATAGTAGGCTCCCATACAGCAGGACCGTACGTCTGAATGAACCGACAGTACTAGATCGCTGATGTGGGCACTGTTGAAAAAAATTTCCTTGATAAACGTCTCCACTCAAACCTCAATATAACAAAATATTGGTTATAACAAAGTAAATGAAGTATAGACTTGCAATAGATGCAGTGTTAAAAAATAACATAACAAATTTTTGGATATAACGAACTTATTTTCTTGTAAGATGAAACATTGTTAGAATGAGGTTTTACTTGGAAGGTTGGGTTATACAAGGCAACCTTCTAAACAGATATCAGATTTCACAGTTTTGCGACTCGTACATCGATAGGTGGCTGACAATAGTTATCGTTCATGTTCAAATTTTATGTTATCGTAATTCATTTGATTTATACAGTTCACTTATCCTGCCTTGTCTTGGTCAGCTGTTAATTTTAAAGCATTAGCAGCAGGTGATTGAAATGTCCATCGCAAACATGCACACACTTTTATAGTGAAAGCCGATACGAGATCACAAGAAAAATCACGTGCGCTGTAGTTGTCCGCCACCACCGCCAGTGTCTGTAACCTCTATCGCGCAAAATAAGAAAAAAAAAAGTTAAGTAAATAAGACACCATGGACACAATGGGACTCTGACTCTGGTGTCCTGCTTAGCAGCCCGGTATTGTACCACAGAGCTATGCTGGTGCTTTAAACTCCGTTGCACACTCGCCTTAGGCAGGCCTGATGTCGGAAAAGGAATCACGTTAATATGCGTAATAAAGAGTTTTAGAACAGCAAAGGAACCACCAGGCATCACAAAAGGCGTATTGCGTAATGAATAGGTTGTCGAATGCTTCAACCCATTCCAAACCTTGAGGCATAATGTCAGCCGTAGCTTAAAAAAACATTGCACGAAATTCATTACATGTTTGTAGCTGGTACCACATTTCTCTGAAGAATGATAAAGGATGGCAAGTGTTCTTGTAGCAGTTACCCAAAGGGTCTTTAAAAAAGACTCTGAAGCGGCTCGTTCAGTTTTCCCTGTGACTGTGCTCCGCGCTCCGCGCAGACATGGCTGGGCTTGGCTTGGTTCGTGAGAACAATAGGCCTTAGCTAGTGTGCCACCTATTACTTCCCTTCTTCAGTTTGCATCTCATTAGCTAATGTATCATTAGCACCATTACTGAAATTTCCTGCAACTGATATTTTCAAATCTATTCTTTCCAGCAAGGTGACCAAAGGCCTGCTGGAGGTGGTGGAGCCACTACGGCGTCCCCTCCGAACAACATCAACGGCGCCATCATGACCTGCGCCTGCGCCGTGGTGATTGTCATTCGTTATGGTCGTGGTCTACAGCATCGTGGCATCTACTACAGCAACACCGCCAGAGCACAAAGCAGTCACGGCTACACCACAGGTTGCGCTGATGTTTGATATAGAGCACTACAACGACTCTGACATCAAGGGCGATGAAGAGGAAACGACACACGTAGATCTGTTGGACGTTTAGCATAAGCACGGAATGGCAACCAATGTTGCCGTAAAATAGCAAACCACGTTTTTTAATAGTGCACGAATGTTCGATAGACATTCGAGCTTGTTACGAGTACTCCAGGAACTCAAAAATCTTATCCAGTTCTGCGATAATTTCAAACTAGTCAGCTGTATCCTGCCTTGCTTAGCCAAAGAACTGAATGCAGTTGCTGACACAATATATGTACGATTTTAATGTTTTCTTTTTACATATAGAACATGGTGTGTGTTCAATTCATCATTCCGGCACTGCTCACACATGCAACGCGTGCATATAAGAATGTTCCAAAGCTCAAGTGATGTTTCACTGGTGCTTCACAAGTATAAAATGTGTATGAACACCACAATCAATACGGTTTCTTGGAAATGTTGCCCGTGCAGGCATATATAATTTTTTTTAATATTCTGCACTTGACTTGAGTATATCACCGAGTCCGTGACAACTTCTCTTAGTAAAGGCACTCCTGGCCACAGTCCAAAGGCACCTTTCGCCTCCAAAGAAAAGGACGCTCAGCTTACTGCTTCAGATTTCATACCTGGGTAAAACAAGAGAGTTTTGTTGCATGCAGCATGAAGAGAAAGCGCCACTAACTTTTGCTGGACCAATCTTTAGCACTAAAATTCACATGTCACATGCACACAGACAATGAACTACCTACTATGTAGATCTATAATTCAAAGACAAAAAAAAATAAGATGGTTGTAAAATGCAAGCGATAGCTTGACTGCTGTGAAAAAACTTGGCTTTCTTAGTATACTGAGTAAGTGCAAAGTTGTTTCACACGGCATATTGAACTATGGTACAAAGTGCACTAAAATGACGCCTAAGGAACGTCTAGACTCCCTGATTCCTTGATAAATAAAGTGTGGGACTGGGCTAGTTGGTAATGTATTATTGAACTTCTAAGCACAAAAACTTCCGACAAGTAACACAAAGCTAAAGTCACACAAGCGTCCTCGTCTTTTGTGTTACTTGTCGGAAGTTTTTGCACTGAGAAGTTCAATAATCCTTGATAAAAGAGGTTGGTTGGTTGGATCCTAGAGGAGTGGCTCAACCCACCACCACGGGTATTCGCTATGAAGCGTTTGGCAGTAAAATTTGGGGGAGAAAAGGGGGCGGGAGGGGGGCTAAAGACTCTCTATAATAAATAATGGAAGTTTTTCCTGCCATGAGCCCTCGGTGCAAACATCGAAAACTGCAATATTTGCGTGCTCAAGCCATCCTGGGCAATAAAATTTTCCTAAACTTCCTATGCTCGATCAGGCTGATTTTTTCATCCTTGTTGTGCGTAATGTAGTCTATCCTTATTGACAACCATAGGCGGGCACATGGGAGTGGTAGTGGGGCAGAGATGGGAAGGCTGCCCCCCAATCATCGAAAAGTTTGCCCTATACAGGTACTCAGTCTGTGCTGCCCATCATTGTTTGGTGCCCAGGGTTAAGACCGTGCAGGTTTTTGATGGTAATAATGGTCAAGAAGCACTGATGTTTTGGAAACTATACTCAAATAATGAACCCGGGTATAACAAAAAAAAAAAAAAAATTGGGGCCCTTAAACTTCACCTGTAAGAGTTGAACGCGACAAATATCCTGACCTCATATAAGGGAATGTGCGCCGTAACCTGTGAGCCTTTTGTAGTGGTTTACTGGCTTTAAACCACTACATGAAAGAAATGGGCATGATCATATGCCCATTTTCTTTCTTGCACCAGTTACTTCTCAAATTGGTCAGAAAACAGAGACATCTTTCCACCGAATTAAAAACAGCAAAACTCGGGAACATTTTTTTCAGCTAGTTCGGAACATAGATTGGACCGCTGTTTATAGACAAGAAAATCCTGATGATGCTTATAACACATTCATGACGTTATTGAGTACTAGCTATGATGCGGCATTTCCACTTCAGAAGCGCTCACGTGGCAGAAATAAGAAATGCAGAAAGCCTTGGATAAATCGTGATCTTTACCAGCGCATAAAAATAAAGAATAAATTGTATCATGATTTCATCCGTTCGCGGAACACAGACGCCTTAGCTGAGTACAAGAAATATAGAAACGTTTTAAATTCAGAAATACGGAAGGCTAAACAGAACTACTATGAAAAATTATTTGAAAGCGTTTACAATGACCAGAGGAAGCTATGGGAGGTCATAAATGGGCTTACGAACAGAAAAAAGGGTTGTAATAGGACACAGGACCTAACAATTAATGGTCAGATTTTCAGTGGTGAAAGGTTGGCCAATGTCATGAATAAACATTTCATAAATGCGGGTTCCTTCATTTTAACGGATGAAAAGCGAGATAATGCTCCAACTCCTGATAAATCTCCTTTGCCGTATTCTATTTTTCTCGCACCCACAGATCCGGTTGAAGTAGAAAGATTAATTAGAAAACTTAAAAACAATGTTGCATCAGGGATTGATGAGATAGGTTCTGTTGAGTTAAAAATGGTGTCACCATTGATATCTAATGTCTTGGCCTATATTATCAACCTCACCCTCACTAACGGTGTATTTCCAGAGCAGCTAAAAGTAGCAAAAGTCACTGCAGTACATAAAGGTGGTGATATCAATACTTTAGCGAACTATCGACCTATATCTGTGCTTCCAACAATATCAAAAATATTTGAAGGGGTTATTTATGATAGACTTGCATCCTTTTTTGATAAGCACCAAATAATAACAAAATGTCAGTATGGTTTTCAAAAAAATAAATCAACAGAATAAGCTCTACTGTATATCAAAGATAAGATAATCGAAAATATGGAAAACAAAAAATATACTCTTGGGCTCTTCCTCGATCTTCAAAAGGCACTTGACTCCATACAATTCAAATCATTGATTCATAAATTATCAAGTTATGGGGTGCGTGGAGTTGCACTACAACTGTTTAAAAGTTACCTAGAAGATCGTTATCAATATGTAAAACTGAATAACACTATTTCTGCAAAGATAAAGTTGAACCAAGGAGTCCCCCAAGGGTCTATACTGGGGCCATTATTGTTCCTTGTCTATATAAATGATATTGTCGATATACCTCATTCTCCTGAACTTATAATGTACGCTGACGATACGAATGTTTTCTTTTCATCAGACAATCTAATATCACTTGAGGTCAGTGTAAATAATTATCTAAGCAATCTTTCAAATTGGTTAAGGCAAAATGGACTGCGCTTGAATGCAAAAAAAACAACCTATATGATATTCCGACCTATAAACAAACCTATTAGTAACATAGCTGTAAAATTCGAAGGAAATTGCATCGCACATGTTAGGGAACAAAAGTTTCTTGGTGTATGGTTTCAGGAGGAATTAAACTGGAATACACATGTAAATCATCTTATCACCGCATTAGCGCGAATAGTTGGTTGTTTTTTTAGAACAATGCACTTAATCCCATTGAGGTTAAAAATAAGTATGTACTACGCACTCTTCCATTCTAAAGTAAGTTATGGGATGTTAGTCTGGGGAACGACATCACAAGGGAATTACCATAAGTTAATAAGTATACAAAAGAAAATATTGCGCTGCTTTGAAAATTACAGGGGGAATCTACAAGACTTGCGCACTGCTCCACTATTCATTAAACATTCCATACTCAGAATTGATCAATTATATCATTTTAAATTACTTCAGTTAATACAAAAGACTAAGCTATATGAAGAAAGTTGCACAGAAAGATCACACTACAGTATGCGAGAACAAAAGAAACGAGCTCCTAGAACAAGAACCAAGTATGGAAAACAAAGTATTGCTTACCAGGTACCTCAGGTTTTAAATACCCTTGCAGATCAATTGAACTTTAGGGCTAGTAGTGCGACTTTCAAGAAACAAATAAAGAACTTATTCATAACCACCGGTCTACACTACCGAAACTACGTAATGGAGTCTCATGCCTCTGCAAATGCTTAAATTGTTCATCAACTTCTATGTCAATTATACGAGTGTATACAGCGGAATTCATTGTATCCGCATGCATTTTGTGTCTGTTTTCGATGTTGTTTCATTGATATTGTTTTGTTGTGAACTATAACGAGAGTGACCTCTAATTCTTAAAATGTGTTATGTAAACTTCTTATGCTATTTATGTTTGAATTTTGTGTTTACAATTTCAGGTTGCTTGAAACCAATGTATTGAATATATATATTGTTTAAGCTTGCACTGTCACGAACTGCGGAGGGACAAGGGCCTTTGTCAGGCTGTTCGCCTTTAGCCCTTTGCCCCTGCAGTGAGCTCTGTATCCGGCTTACTGTAAATAAAAATCCTACTACTACTACTACTACTAAACCACTAAGCCGTGATAAGTGCACATTTTGATGCCCGATGGCGATGGGCGCTTGTAGCACGCATTATTACTACAATATTTCATAATGTATTGCAAAGCATGTATACAGGACGCATGTGTTTGTGAAGCATGAAAGTTACTTTCACTGCATTTTCCAAGCATAGGAAGTTATTTTCAATATTTTCACAAGCAGATGCATGACCATGTGGTAGAACATCCACTTGACATGCAAATGACCAGAGTTCGAGCCCCACTCTTACCCAAGTTTTGTTAATTTTATTTGCCGCATTCTCAAATTTTAGGTCAGGCATAAGACGATTTTTCGCTCGCAATCAACGACGCGACACCAGAATTTCTGGGAAACGAGCTCTTTAATGCTACCGCATTATATTGGTTATAATATAAGGAAGTAAATAAAGAATACTCTTGCAATAGGTATATAGCCAGGAATATACCTCTATAATGTACAATAAAACTTCATATAAAGAGGTCCAAGTGTTAATCGCATGCCATGTTTACCCCTTGTAAGCCAGAGACCAAAGGCGGAACATTGTCAGAAGCATATAATTGCTTTACTTTCATTTTTGCATTCCTTGCAAACCGTTTTCTATTAGATTTTACCAAGTGGGAGAGGGAAGGGGGAGAAAGCTACGAGAATGCGCCTCTCCAAAGGGAGACCCTGCGCATGCTAATGTTGATAATTCGATAACAAGGCTCGACAGTGGCCATCAGAATCAGCAACGTCGACCAACAAGTGTCAAACCTTGAAGGTGGCACTGTTGGCAATCTTTGGACATTGTTACAATCCTTTCGGCCCTAGTGGTGGCAATCGAAACCGTCACACACCATTTGCGCTAGCACCCAAAAAATCAAGCCAAACTGTTATTTTAACGGCGAATGTTTCCTCTATGATCCCCACCGATATCGACACTGCCACTGTGGGATTTTCGAGAAGCTGGGAGCCACCAAAATAGATGTACCGTTATAATGGTTGATGCCACGAAGGGTAAGCTGAGGTGGGTAAACGCCATTTTCGGGATGAAGCCCAAAAGTTGTTTCAGGGACTTTCACACTGCCAAATAAGACATCATTTATGCACAGCCCAAACCTTAGAAAAAAAAAAAACCAAAAAACAGAATTCCAGGGTAAGAGCAGTCTTCCAGTACTGCAGAAAGATAACATATACAGCCAACATAGCGCAACGTTCACTCGACTCACCTCGCTCGAGCTGCTGAGGGTCCATGCGCAAGATGAAAGGCAAGATACTCCCAATGCGCACGCTGCCAATGAGACCCGCAAAGAAGAGATCCTCGGTCAGCGAGGGTTGCAAGGCACGTAGGGGCGCCAGCTGCAACAACAGCCGGTGTGCACGGCCCCCGCTCCATGCGCCACCAGTGCCGCCCGAGTGCAACTCAAGCTCCCGGCAGGTGCGCTCCTGCAGCCGCTCCAGGCGCGCGCACCACTCTGGCCCCAGTGCTGGTCGGTCTGCACATTGCCACAGGGTTGCCTGATTCGTGAAAGTCCTCAAACATTCTGGACTGGTAACAGTGAAGACACGAACCTTAGCAAATGCGGATAAGGAGAAACAAGCATTCTTTATTTTGAAAATGTGAACCTTAAGAACCTTCACTCGTGTAAAATAACTCTTCGAGAATGAAAAATTGGAGCCGCCTCGCTGCGGTGGTCTAGTGGCTAAGGTACTCGGCTACTGACCCGCAGGTCGCAGGATCGAATCCTGGCTGCAGTGGCTGCATTTTCAGTGGAGGCGAAAATGCTGTAGGCCTGTGTACTCAGATTTGGGTGCATGCTAAAGAACCACAGGTGGTCGAAGTTTCTGTAGCCCTCCACTACGGCGTCTCTCATAATCATATGGTGGTTTTGGGACGTTAAACCCCACATATCGATCAAATAATCAAGAATGAAACTGTTCCTAATTCTTGACTCAAGTGTCTGGTAGTGGCACTTGCAACTTGGTGTTTGTGTGGCCTGGTGTATTCTTTGGTTATCCCTTGAGTTAACTGTGCTTCGCGCACTGTTGAAGCCACATAGAACTGCATGTTTGAGATGTCATCTGTTAAATGCCACAATGAGCCGCAAGCGATGAGTTTCTGAGTTGCAATAGCTGTTCACACAAATTTTTGCTAATTATATGACTAACTTTAACTTATGACATACCTTAATTAAAGGGGCCCTGCAACACTTCTCGAGCACGGTCAGAAAACGCTGCCGATCGGTAGTAGAGGCGAGGCTTCCGACAACACGCGAGCTAAATATTATATCGTAGCACGAATCCTGGAATTCACAATAAATTGTCAAAGTCAGCTAAAAATTGCTTTCTCTTCTCTCGAAAAGTGACAAAAAATGCTCAAAAATCACACGTAGCAAGCCCATCAATCAGCCATTAGCTGATTTGAACATGGCGCGCTCAGCCGTTACAGAGATATACGCGAGATGCTGCGACTTGTCCACGCGTGCATGCGCGATCACACTGAAAAAGCCGTGTATTCTAAGAAAAAAAATTTTTTTTAAAGCGCTTAAGGTCACAAGGCGCACGTGAAGTTTTTTTTTTTTGCCCCTACCGACCCTCCCTGTTTAGCTTTCAGCGCTTTCGTCGGGACCAGAGAAGAAAATGCAATTGCAGCATGCGACAAATCTTTGTAACTCCACTCCCACTGGACGGATTCTTAAAATTTTTGTGGTGTTGAGTTTGTAAGGCAATAAGCTCTCCCAGTAAATTCATTCCATGGTTACTTGAGTGTTTCAGGGTCCCGTTATTCTCCACTCGATCATATACAACCCTCAGCTTAACTCATTCCATAACTGCTATGTATGTTTTTCGTTTTTACCGGGGTTTTTGAACAACTTGCACCAGTGCTGGACAAGATAGTCTGAAAGATAGCTAGGAGCATCTATAACTGCTTGTGCCACAATAGGAGAATGAATATAGTGAACAGGGGGCACCCTTTTATCAAATGAAAGCGTCGCCCGAGACCTAAGAACACCGTTGTGTTGCATGTAGTGCACCAACACAGTGTTGACAATAGATGAGGTAAACAAACGTTGAGGGTACATTGTCCATTGAGGGAGCCATAATCAATGGTATGGGCATTTTGGGTAAGTCTGTGCATATCCATATTTTACAATATAGCACTAACACACAAGGATACAGGGAAGACCAGACATCAGTGACCTAGGGAAACGGAGACATAAAGTACTGCATGTAATGCAAAGTTCCTTTTTCGTAAGAATAGTGCCTCGCATACTTCTTGACTCCACAGCAGATAGCAAGTTCATATACAATGCATGAATAACAAAATTCTATGATAAGTATGTCGTGGGCTTGTGAGTATATTGAGTTGCATGATATACTGAACTGCACTTGCAGTATAAGCCTGTTCATAGTAACCAAGTTAGACTAAAGCTGTGACAGCACCAAGAAGTACGCCTCTGCATGGTTTGTGTGACATGTACAAGCGTCTTAAACCTTGCGAGAAACTGTTAAAACTGGAACTTCACTGGAAACATCACACTTGTATTTCTTTCCTACTGACCCCATTGCAGATCTTTCTTGACCGACGTCTGTATTCTCTTAATGAGTAGCACATGTAATGGAACATAAGAAGGGCAATATTTTTTGAGGGGCTGTTTTCTCGATCATACACAACCAAATGAATAAATGACACAATTTCAGGAGAGCGTACGGGATATTACCTGTAGTTGTAATAAGTATTGTGCATAAATTGAAAGAAGTTGAAGTGGATAGAAAAGCCCCATTTCTGCGGGTGAGATTTGAACCCACAACATGCAAATACATAACGTGTTCAATGCTCTACCAAACGAGCTACGACGGAAGGCACTTCCCTGTCCGCTTTGGGTCTTTCTGTTTGGGCCTTTCTGCATGTGTAAACCTCAGGAGTGTAAGCCATTGCCACTCGTAGCCAATGTGGCGAGTATGGAGCACTATTCTTTACCAGAGGGCATCATGCCCTCTGGTGACGTCCTCTGGTCATCACCTTGATGTGCCACGTTTACATATGCGAACACAACTTGTTTCTGCCACTTCTTTGGACTGATGACCGAAAAAGAGCAACATGCATTGCACATAGAATAAATTGAACCTTCTGCGCATCCAATGAGTCATAACTTGACATTATTGTTCTCGGTATGACCATAGCAGGGGAGCTATTCTCACGCTGTCCCCTTGGACTTCCACTGATTGGCTGGAGTTCTGCCAGCAGCGTATCGCCCCTTTCTGATATTTCTTCTTCGTCATTTTGACGCCGTGCAACTTGCACAACTCTCGACACAAATGAGAAAGACGGAATGCGTTTTGCCACAACACATGCTGCCCTGGAAGATCTGCTTTTGGATGCACATCTCGGAGGCCATGCATGAGCTCTGATCACGCCAGCCTTTGAATTAGGTGCACCGCGGCTGCTTGCCTGACAGATTTGTACGCATTCCCTGCATCGTTCCTCAAACATGTCAGCACGTTGATGCGCAGGTTCAGACTTGTCAAATTTGTTGAGTGTCCTGTTATGGTACATTTAGTTCACTTTCTTTCTTTTTATGCTGGGAATATGCTGGCTGGTTCGGTGCATCGACGTGGTCAAGAGCACCATGATGTCACGACTCGCCGTTTCTTTGTTTCTTTTGTTTGTTTGTTTTTCGTAGCTGAACGCGCTATGATGAAGTGGAGATGTCCATTAAGTATTCATTACAAGAATCGGACCTCCGATCACTTTAGCAAGAGCACTATGAAGTTTGATGGGTCATGAGACATGCCGTATTCCAGGACGAATGTCAAAAGTATACATATTTTTTTCTTTAAACGAGTACAACCAAAGCCAACTGAGCATGCATTTTGAGCCCCCTAATTTCATTCTTTTTATGCAAAAATGAAATATGGCGCACAGCAAAATAGTTATATGCTTAATTAATATGTATTATGACTTAATTACTTAAGCATGCACAAAGCAGCTGGTACTCCTTTTCATTTCTTGGAATGCAATTCGAGCCCCTTGGGCATATGTCGGGCAAATCTGACACATTCGCAGACAGTTCTTCATAATTTATGCCTGAAGGATTTATGGCACATGCTGGATGCAGCTTCCTCACGACGGTTCTCCATCGTACCGGAATCGAACACTATGGGCACAGCAATTGGCCAATTCACTCACCAGGGCAGAAAAGCACCAACGATTTCAGCAAGGCATATTCCTGGTCATCAGGTTGCAACCTCTGTGTTGCTGAGAGGAGCCGCTGTAGAGCAGTCACGTGCTCGGACACCTGGGCACGCTGAGCGCTGCCCATGATGTCGCTGCCTGGGCCGCCCTTTGCATTCAAGTGGGACAACACTGTTGACAGCAGTGTGGAGAGTTGCATCTGCTCTGCACACTGGAGCAGCCCCAGGGTGAAAATCTCGCTCCACGCCGATTCCACCAGAGTCAGCTGAAGCGACGCCCTACAGTCACAGAGAGTGAAAGAAATCGTGTTCTTCAGTGAACTGTAGTTAATCCTGCAAGTAGGATGCAGAAACAAGACCGAGCGCTAAGAGCAGGTCTGAAGGCTTCCCATTCATACAGTAGAGTATGAGTGACATGCTTTCAATGGGTTTTGAAGGTATGACAACTTAGCCGCTGGGAAATGCGTATTTCAATATACTATTGTGCCATCAAAATTTTGCTTTGCAACATGGAGCCATTTTGCTAAGATGTACAGCCTGGAACTGATGACTGATTCAGATGCGGTACTATCGAGCCCAGATATATCAAATCTTAACGGGATCCCAAAAGTTAGATATAGGTAATTCGATACTTGAAATGATTTATACATAAAAAAATATATTCAGGAGGGTACTAGAACTGTTTGATATACACAATAATTCGTTTTACGTAAGTTCGACGGTATATCAAACATCACAGTGCATTTGTCAGCTTTAGGTCATCAACCCAGGTAGCCAAGTAAGTTGCCTCCTTTCTTTTTTTCTCCTCCTTTCTTTCACATTAGTTGTGACCCATTCTTTCACATTGGTTGTTAAACTGGCCATAACACACAGTTTTTGATCACAATCTGTGTCATGTGCGTTTACAAACAAGGTAGGAAAACTTGAGTGCATTTGGTCGAGTACTTAATTTATAAGTGATATTTTTACAAACACGCGACCAGACAGAGTCGGGAAACACTGGCGCTCTCGCAAGCTGCGATGTAACAAGCTGCTTGCTTTGCAAGCGTTTGCATTCTGGCAAACGATCTTCTTCTGTGGCCAGCTGCTCATGTAATCGAGCTATTTCATCTTTCTCAAGCTTTGCATCGAAATTGAACCATTTGCAGAGGCTGAATTGTTGGTAAGACATGATGGCTCTACTTCATGCAGCATGTGACGTCACTCACGCCATGGCCAAATGGTAGTCACTGGTGGCAGGCAAGGTTCACAACAAGCAACTGCTAGGGCTTACTTTGCACTGAAATATTCTCTTACAGTCCATTTTGCGTATGCGTGCAGGGACAATATCCTCTACTTCTATTGTTAGCTGAAAACTGAATTGCGGGGTGACCGTATCCTGGCCCCTTTGACCCTTTCCCTACTGTAGAAAAAGAATACAATTGTACGAAATTCAAGTGAGCACATTTCGCTCAATTTGCAGGCTATTTTTCTTAACAAAATGACAACATTACTTTAGTTCAATGGAGTTCCTTTATATCACTAACTGCATAAAAAGATGGCTCGATGATGCTTTCACAGCATTGCAATACAATCAAAGATGGCAATACATTTAAAGGGCCAGTTAACAACCCTGAGGCAGAAAAAAAATTGCTGTAAAAAGAAATATGCATAGTTTAGATATGTGAACATGCTGTCGCAACAATTTTGTGAATGCATGCTACAATAAAGAAGATATAGGGGTTAGAACACCCGTTTCAGCTGGTTTCAAATTTTTACGTGGCGTCGCCACCTTTCTCCACCATAGGGAGGGGAAAGGCATAGCTTATTGTCATGACTATGCCTACTTCGACAACGTGACATGTAGTTCGCAATACGTCATGCCGCACAGCCGCACGACCGAGCAGGGCATCCCCGACGTAGTGGCTTAGGGAGGAACAGCAGTTTGAGGAGCACTTTCCCTAGACGACTACTCTTCCCCTAACGATACAGTAGCACGGCGCTTCTTTATTTCAGAGGCTTTTGTTCTGGCAATACCGCTTGTCCCGGTACTCTCAAGCTCTGGAAACCAGCAGTGGGCAGCACACGAAAATGAAAATGCGGAACGCGCAGCCGAAACTGCACCACTGCAAGACCAAGGCATCGTTTCGTCGGGCAAAGGACAAATCGACGAGCTCAGTGGTGCGTAAAGTTGCCAACGGGCAAGACTGCGTCACTTCGCGTACGAGGGGTATTGGTCCGGCAAAGGAAATAGGCGTGACAATTTTTTTCAAAATGGAAAGTCTGCGCGGCACGCAGCGCTGTAATATTCGAAAAATGTGATCACTGCGGTCTACTGTACGAATCGGCGAGCTTGTTTGATGGGTGCAGAAAAAAAGTGGGAGCCTGCTTACTGGCCCTTTAAAGCTGAGACAAATATAGCACAGCACAGAAGACGTGCGGCCATCTAGTGTCAGGAAACGTAACTATGACACCATTGGTTCCATGTGAGTGCAATTTTTGTTGTTGATGAGTCACTATGACACCATTGGTTCCATGTGAGTGCAATTTTTGTTGTTGATGAGTCTAGTTGTCATCAGCCATTCTGGTACAAACTCTCATGACTATACTTGTCAACAGGAGGAAAAGGTTAATCACAGGTGCTCAAATGCAAATAACTTACGGCAGCTCCTCAAACGCCGGCAGGGTCCGCGTCCAGAGCAGCGACCGAAACAAGATACGGGAGGCACTCTCGCAGACATAATGCACGTTGAGTGCCCCACCTAACGGTGTTGTTGGAAGGGTCACGTGGAAGAGAGCCTGCTCCTCTGAGATCAGGGGTCCAGATGATGGGCTGAGCCTGGACCCTGCAGTGGTCAACACAATGATACGTCTTCAAGCACTGTGGGGGCAGTTTCAAGATATGTGAAGTAACATCCTATTTATTAATTGTAGCATTTAACATCCAGAAACTACAATGTTATCATGAGGGTCACTGTAGTGGTGGGCTCCACAATAGAGTTTCCTGTAAGTATACTAGAGGGAACTCTGGCGGTGTCTACGGAAGCTGCAACGCACGGTACTTCAGAGAGCATTCCCATGCTCGCTGAAGCACCGTGCGTACACGGATTTGTCTAATCTTCGCACTTTTGGCTCCGTCTGGCTTCGCATGGCTTGGAGCTGCTTTGCCACGAAACGACACACAGCAAATGTTCAGCAGTTGCACTGCACCACCTTAACCTTTTAGGCTCGCCGGTTTCGGGTCACGAAGCTTGAAATGGTCCATTCTTTTATACGAAACGAAACCAAAACACAATAATAATCAAAGCCACAGGGGCGTTCGAAGCCGCAAGCATGAAAACTAGGCAACATTGTGTACTACCCATCGTTCCCATGGTTGCTGAATGACTGCAGTGCCACATCTCCCCTAGTTAATTTTAGGAAACTCTGGGCTTCAGCTACCTGGGTTTCTTTAGCATGCACCTGAATCTACGCACACGGGCCTCTATAATTTTTGCATCCATCAAAATGCAGCCGCCGTGGTCGGGATTCGATCTCGTGATGTACAGGTCATCATTGTGATACTGTAACCACTAGGCCACCATAGCAGGTGAGGCGGCACACTCTGCACCTCGGGCACAGAACAATGACAAAACCGACAAGTGGGCGAGATCATTGCTACTGTCACATTTGCTGTAATCAGCGAGCGAAACGTGAGAAATATTCTCACTGCAGGAGCTTTCATTTGTCCAATTTTGGCAATCGAAACACTAGTGAAGAACCGGTTCGTGCTTGCCTGTGAAATGCAATGCTGTAAAATGCAACTGACCTTCAACAGCGTTTAATTCTGTGTTAAAGGAGGCTCTGATGTTCTCACCGTGTCAGGTTTACGCACATGCTGACTGTCTTAACTCTAGAGCTATGGTATGTAGAAAAAAAAAAGCATCCAAGCGTGTCTGCAAAACACGCATCCAAGCGCGTTTGCAACACAATTCTGTGTTGCATAGCTTATCAGTGCTCTGCCAGTATGCTAATGAACTGAAAGGATGTTTTATTTATTTATTTAGTTATTAATACTGTAACCCTCACTTGAGGGTCATTACAGGGAGGAATATAAACACAAAACAAAAACAATACACAATGACAAAACAGACATTAAGTTTCAAGTTGCCGGTAGTACAATTCTAGCGAACACTCAAACTCTTTGACATTTGCGCTAGTAACAGCGTACTCTGGAAGTCTATTCCACACTTCTATACTATACGGAAAAAAAGAATTTTTAAAGCCATCCAGACGCGCCCAAAAAGGCCTTATTGGGTGACTATGGTTCAACCGAGCTCCTCGTTTGGGTGCAGGTTGTATGTATGTGTCTTTATTTATTTTGATTTCGCCTCTTATAATTTGAAACAGGAGTTTTAACCTTTGCTTTTCACGGCGCACTTGCAGGGGTTCTAGCGCACATGATTTTAACAAATTTGTGACGGACTCTGTCCTCCGGTACCGTGAGCAAATGAAGCGCACTGCTAGCCTTTGAATTTTTTCTATTTTATCTCTCAGTGACTGCTGATGAGGACTCCATACAGAAGACGCATACTCCAAAATAGGGCGAACAAATGTCTTATATGAAAGTAATTTGACATCTCTAGGGGCATCTTCGAGTTTTTTCCTCAAGTAAAACAACTTCCTGTAGGCCTTTGAACACACCTCCTCAACATGAGTGTGCCACCCCAAATCGCTGGTAATAGTCACCCCCAGGTATTTAAAGCTGTGTGTTCTGGTCAGAAGGCTATTTCCGATTTTATAATCATATGCGAGTATGGATTTTTTCTTGGTTATATGGGTGAACATAGTTTTTGAAAAGTTAATTTCCATCCCCCACTGGGTGCACCAATTATGCAAGGCTTGCAGACAGCGATTAATTTTGATTTGGTCGTTTGCGTTATTTACAGGAGCGTAAATTAAACAATCGTCTGCAAAAAGTTTGATTTTAACCGGGCTTTCGACAACTACGGAAATATCATTTATAAAAATTAAAAACAACAAAGGACCCAGCACAGACCCCTGTGGGACACCAGACAGTACTTTCAATGAACTAGATGTGCAATCATCTACACGTACTTTTTGTTGACGGTTCTCCAAATACGCGGCTATCCAATTTAGTATATCTGAGCTAAGTCCTAGTTGCTGAAGCTTATAATTTAATTTGCTATGAGGAACTTTATCAAATGCTTTGGCGAAATCTACACAAATGACGTCTATTTGTTGTCGACCTTGGAGAGATAAATAAAAATCATGAACTGTTTCTACCAGTTGAGTAACAGTTGACAACGCCTTCCTGAATCCGTGTTGATGGGGATAAAAAAACTCTTTTGACTCAAGAAAAATAATAATGTGCCTTGCTATGAAGTGTTCTATGATTTTGCAACACACAGAGGTCAGTGAAACGGGGCGATAATTGTTCACATGAAGTCTTTGTATATAGGCTTTACAATTGCAGTGCGCCAGTCTTGCGGTAATGAGGATGTTTCAAGAGATTTTCTGAAAATGATTGTTAAATAAAAGGACGACCATTCGGCATACCGTCGTAAGAATTCACTGGGAATTTCGTCTGGTCCAGTTGCCTTTTTAGCGTCAAGCCCTAGCAAGTGACTGAACACCCTTCCTGCATGATAGCTAAGGGCTCCATTGCGCAGGCGCGCGGGCAGGCCTGGTCAGCATCCACCTGATCGGTTTCATCTCTAGTGAAGACCGACTGAAAGAACTGGTTGAAAGAATTTGCTATCTGCGGTTTTTGCCTCACTGTCTCGGGTCCAATTTTTATCTGTTCAATTTCTTCTTTTTTATTCTTTAAGTGAAGCCAAAATTTTTGAGGGGAAGACTTAATGAAGTCAGCAAGGGTTTCGGTATGAAACTTTCGTTTGGATTCTTTTAATGCTGTCTTTAACTGTCCACGCAATTGTACAATTGCTACCGAGTTCGTTTTGTTTAGAGCTATTGCGTGATTCGACGTTGTGCTGTCAAATGTTAGCTTCCTAACGTACCCACTTCCAACTAAAAGCATAAGAGAAAAGCCTTCAATCCTTGGACCGGCACAAATTTATCTTCAGCTATGCAGCTTTCTCAGGGCACATGTCTACTCAGTGCCTTTGTGCTGATGTCTTATAAATGACAAATCTTTTTGTCACTGCCCTGTAGTTGTGTAAGGGTTTCGTATGTTGGAGTGGCACAAGTTTCAATTGAGAGAGGCGTTTGTCGGTGAGAATGCGACCAAATATTTTCTTCCCGTGCCGTGCTCGTAAATTATCACTAGAAGAGAGCACACGATTCCATGCACAAAGCAATGAAAATTCTGTCTAAACCTATTCCCTCAGTGCATGAAAGTCGCATATCTTTCTGTTGCACGAAACTACTGAAAGTTTCCCAGAGAATTCTGGCCAGCTCAGTCATATAGCCCACTCAAACCTCAATATAACAAAATATCAGTTATAATGAAGTAAATGAAAGATAGTTTTGCAATGAACATAGTATTTGAAATATACCTTTATAACAAATTTTCAGTTATAACAAACAAGTTTTCATGCAAGATTTTGAAATTTTGTTATAATGAGGTTTGAGTGAGTAGTACATACATCTCACAGGGAACACATTTGTGACAGTGATCAACTATGAGTATAATGACCCTTGTTTGCTACAAGTACTAACAAGTAAGAGTACCAAGCATTGCTATTAACAGTACTGACCGTACTCACTTGAGTATGACTCCTCGTCAGCAGCTTGGTCATCACCATCTTCATCCCAGGATGCCCAACTGCTGCCTATCGCGTTGGGGCCATCCTTGTTGCCACTCAATTTCGAATTCTGAAACAAAACAGAAGGAAATTAAAAAAAAGCATAGAAAAGCACTTGTATAGTCTTTTACATTGAAAACCACATGAGTACCCATGTAGCTTGAAATATTAACCCAGAGCTAACATCCGATTAGTTTCACAGCATACCTGCGAAAGTGGCAGGGTAAATAAAGTTGACTAAATAGAACCTCAATTGCACGACATTCAGGTGATCCCGCAAGACCGTTGTATAATCCGGGCATTGCATAATCAAAAAACAAAAATTATAGGCACTGACACTCAGCCCTGCCACAAAAAACAGGTACAGACCACCTGAATAAGTCCACGGCAGCACCTTGTGCCTCTGCAAAGAAGGTAGCTTAAAAAATAAATTATTCTTACCAGTGGCAGCTAATGGCAGCATCACTTAGATGGAGCAGGTGCGAGTGAATCTTTATTCTCAACATTAAAAAAATTGAATCCAACATGCATCTTTCTAAAATGATAAGCAGAATCTGACAATTGCCTGGGCGTAAAAACAATACCAAAACTGCGTTGGCAACAGCCTCCCATCAGAAGAGTCGGAAACGGTGTCATCACTGTCACACAATCATGACGGACCATGAGTTTTCGTAGAATGCCTTCGTGCGTGACTGAGCTGTGCGTGTTGTCGTTAAGTGAAAGTGATTTTGCATGGTGAAAACGGCTACATACCGCCCTTACATGTGCGCAAGCCTGCGACTTCCGAGTGTGACAAAGGCAAGAGATAAGCTGTATACATCGACCAGAAAAAGCTTCCACGGACTGAAAATGTGAAAATTTCAGCTTTTTGGCTGCCTGAAGCTACTCTGTGTGGATACAGCTTGACTAAGTAACGACCCCGCATACGCACGCATGCAATCGAGGCATATGTAGAAGCATATAAACTTCTAGGAGAATAAATTTTCCATTTTAAGAAGACATCCCATCTCGCTCTACTTTTTTAATCATCAACCTAGGGGAACGCAAATTCATATTTTGCACTCGTGAATATTTGATCGACGTTTGATTCAGGCTAATGTGTTTTTTTTTTCTTTCGAAAGGAATTTGCAAGTCGTAAGGTGCGGGGTCGGCTTAAAACTGCGACGTATAACCAAAGTTTTTAGTCAATTATTTCTATGGGGATTTATCAAGGGCCTAACTGATTCTTCAAAAAATGTGGGTCGTATTGAAACCAGGGGACGTATAATCGAAGTCCCACTGTAATTGCTTTGACAGGCCAAAATAAGTATTGTTATTTGACTTCCTTATAATAGCGCCATGACCCCCAATTTCGATCATAATCTGTGCTATATGGGTTCACCATAATGCTTTCACAAATAAGCTGGGTATTTGGTCAACCTCCTAGTTTATAATTGAATATCTTTATGAAGACGCAGGTGCCCTGAGAGTTTGGCAAAACTAGCAGACTTGTGAGCCGTGAGGTAGAGCAGGTGCCCTGAGAGTTTGGCAAAACTAGCAGACTTGTGAGCCGTGAGGTAACAAGCCGCTTGCTGCACGAACCTCTGGAATCCATCGAACGATATTGCTTCCTGCTCAGCTGCGCACGAGTGTAATCGGGCAATTCCAGCTTTCTTCAGCTTGGCATTGAAAGTTAACAATTTTCAGCAGCTGGAACTTTGGTATAAGCCAGCCGCTTCACTCCATGCAGCACATGGTGTCGCCCACACCATGGCAAGATGGCTGTTGCAGGCGATTTCTATGGCTTAGCTTGTACTAAAATATTTTACAGTGCACAGTAAAAGATAAAAACAGCACAAACTAGAAGAGATTAACGACAAATAACATACAGGACAGCGCTCGTCCTGTCTGTTATTCTTCGCTCGTCTCTGCTAGTTTGTGCTGTTCTTACCTTTTGCCATGTTTGATCAACTAGCCCAACTGGGATTCATTTTACAGCACATTTTTTCATACATATAGAATACAACAGACCCTACCACTTCAACATTTATTTGAAAACCACTCATTTAAGCGCACCAAACTGTTGAGAATGATGACATACTATGCAAGTTAGCAGCCGCCAGCGCATGTTACCTGCTGATCGTGATGCGCGAGACCAGTTGCGTGCAGCGTCTGCCTGTGAGCCATGTTCAGCGCGTGGCTCGAGAGGCCACCCACGGACGTCAACAGCATGCTGGCACCTTTCTCGCCTCGGCCGGCCGAATCTGCACTGGGCTTGCGCTCTGACTGCACGGCTGTTGAGAGGGCAGGCAGCGCAATGCCGTGTAACGTAGTAGCACAGGAAGTTATACTATGCTCTAACCTAGATGAACTATTCAACTCGCACTTTCACAGAGGCCTAGTTACGGAAAATACAGTTGAAACTCGTTATAACGAATTTCGATACTAGTCAACTGGTTATGTCAAACTAAATACAAATACCCAAAGCTAGCTAGACCTCAACCTTCCACAGTAACAATGTTACAAACGGATCTTCCTCGCCGAAAGAAAGTTTAGCCGCTTTGCTCCGGTCATTGACCAACACTGCCTCGAACGCAATGTCGAGTATTGCTTGTTAGCGCACATACTCTGAAAATGTTCTGTGTTACAAATGTTTCTTTTAACAAAATTTTTAAAATGAACTGCGAGAAAGCCCTTAAAAGCGGCGATCCCCCGAACCAACTGAGGGCTGTCCAAAGGGCCCGCAAGCACATGGAGAACCATAGGTCTTCCAGCCCAAACATTGGTGTGGTCTGCAACTATGACTTGGTATTTCCTTAGGACCACAATAAAGTTTGTTGACTGCCTGACTGGTTTGTCACACTTCATTTCAGAGACATTTGTGCACTTCATAACAAAACTGAAATTCGGAGAGCCGCCACAAAATTGATGTAGCAAAGAAATTTCGCACGCATGTGGCTCAGAACCCTAATAGTAGCATTAAAATCAACTTCAATATTCATGCACATTTCACAACTGCATTGTTTTTTTTTTCAAATGTGTTTGTGAAATTAAAACTGTCATTAGACAACTGTTTAGCAGACTATGTTGATTGTGCTGAAGGCAGTTCGTTTGGTGTTCTGACCACCAGACGCAATTTCTACTCTGCACCTGTTGGACAGAGGCATTTGGTATGCACTTTCGTATCTGCAATTTCTGTGTGAATCGAATCGGCGATATTTATCTGTACTGTTACTATGAATATCGAATATATTAGTATACTAATTTACTTTTCTTGTGCTACCTTGTTTGACAATACGTGGAGGTGTCAAATAATTACACTGATAGACATATAAAATGAGGATAGATGTGGCTTTTATATCTGCCAACAACTTTCTTCGTCATAGGAAAAGGCTTTGGGGGTAAAATATTCGTGCACGTGCTACTACATTGTACTCAGGTGCAACTTTGAAAAATAGCAACATTTCCAACACAAATGCAGATGCAAACAAGCCTGTGCTATTGAGCAGCGCATGCTCAAGACTGCGTTATAAGCTGCTTTGTAAGTTACATTTAACTGCCACAAGTACTAAGACAAAGTCGGACAGTTCTTTTGTTTTCTTTGAATATGTACTCAATCAGGTTAGCTTTCATACGAAATTGTGTGCATGTGAAAACGTTTGCACAAATGTGGAAGAGAAAAGACGGAATGCAGCATCCAGCGATATATTTCATCTTGTTCTACAGTTGTGATGACGGGCTCTTTCTCTATTTCCCAGCTTAAAACAAGCAGGGGATAAGAACATAGGCATCGGCAGGGGATTGCACAGAAGGTGCTTGCTCCCCCACTTCTTTCCCCACTCGCCCCTTCCCTTGACACAACAGCACCGAACCAGTTCCCACCACCCCAAGGTGATGCAACACTGGTTTGCGCCCCCCCCCCCCAAGAAGGAACCTTACCAACGCCCGTGGGTGAGAATGTGGGAAAAGTTTCAGGAAAACCCTTTGCATCCAGTTATATTTTCGTTGCGATAAACGGTTCTACGTTAGTATAGAGACAACATAAGCATAACTGCATCAGCATCTGGTTACATCGTGAGCCCCCATATTCTCTGTACTATAAACAACACACACAAAAAAAACAAGAGGAGCTGAGTGCTTCCTGGTACACAAAAGTAGTAAGCGGCTCAAAAGGCCTGCTGACCTCAATGCAGCAAATTCTAGCATATTCTTGCTAGAGAAGATTTGCTTCTCAATTTATGATAGTTTCGGAACATTCAGGTTGAAAATTCTCCTATAGAGCATGTTTCTGGTGGTATATAAGGGGATAGAATGGTTAGTTCAGCCCACAAAGCGAAATAAATGTAGTACAGCAGCTTTGCACGAGTGATTCTGCTTCAACAAGGTCATAAACCAGGCCAGTCTGTGATCTGTATGTCACATTGCACCAGTGAACTGAGACAAGTGCTCGTCTTCATCTTTGCCCGGTTGCACACTGTAATACACAGTAATATAAAGCTCAATGGGTGGTGCAGCTTCTGAGCTTACAAAAGGGTGCGTGTTTCTGAAGAGTCAGAACAGATTGTAGACACACTCAAACTTCAGTATAATGAAGTGACACGAAAGTCGATTGCATCGAGGGTTGAGTGTGCAGTGCTGCATTTAATATACCGCACACATTGTTCCAAAGGCTGGAAATATTGTTTGGATTCGTAACTAAAAGACAACTATCACGTACAACTTTCTGGTGTCCTCGATTCAAATCTTCAGAAAAAACAAAGTGTTTCCTTATAAAGGGAGCAGGAGTGAAGAGGTTACACCCAAGTGGTTCGGCAACAACGAGCATCCCACAATCGAGCAACCACAAGCACAGAACAGCTAACATAAAGCACGTGCGTGGGCCAGAACAGCTCGCCACACATTTAAACGCCAAGAGTCACACAGCACAGTGTTACAAGAAGAAAAGAAGGAAGGAACGAACGAAAAAAAAAAAAACACCGCCCAAGCGCTTTGTGCAGGAGCTGAAACATGGGGCCTCGGCATTTATTGCTAGCTGGTATTTATCGCAGCGTCTTCTGTTGTAGCTTTTCACTTCTCTATCACCACATTTAAGAGGTGCTTGCTTCATTCAAAGTTTGCATTTGGCGACAAAACTAGCTTACAAGACATTAAGAACAGCACATTTACAGATGGGTAGATATTCATGCCACAGAAGGCGTCATACCTAGCTTAAATATGCTGACAAAAGCTGAGGAAAAGCTCTTGCAAGTGCGAAGAATCTCCAAGGTAGCGTACATCAGCATTAGTTTTTTTCGTTTCAGTTTTTGCGCACTCGCGTACCCCCACAAGTTTCCACCTTCTAGCAATACACAGCTTGGAGGTAAAAGATTTAATTCATGCGAAACAGTGAGAGAGTCTAGGAGGCTGTTGGCTAATGCTGTGGCCCGTCCGGTTATACCATATTAATGAGGCATTGACAAAAAATGAGAGAGAGAACAGATGAAGATGTGATTATAAAAGGGATCTGTCAAGCAATCTGCTTAAAAAATTTTTTTGGGGCACCAAAGCATGAACAGGCATTTAGTGGAAGCCATAGAAATGCAGCACACAGCTGAAGGCCAATTAACCAAGTTAAAAGCAAACTGCCACAAAACTCTAGAATGCATAGAAGGGTTAGTTACAGACAGCAAAAATAGACAAATGCCTCAGTACAATATTTTACATTTGAACTACGAGCAAAAGCGTAATATGTACATAACCAGCTGATGCTAGCAGTGCCACTATCAGGCAAGTGTTGAGGGCGAGTGTGACGAACTGGCTGACGCTGAAAGGCATAGGCAAAAAATTCGTTTCTTTTCACTCAAGGCCACTTGCTAGATATTGGCAACCCCAGAATGTAATTTGCTGGATGTTAGGGTAGCTTTTTCATAAACAGAGTGCACAGTGAATTTAACAAGAGGCAGCACAAGTTCGACATGCCCCTAAGCACACCAAGCTTAGAACTGCCTCCTGCGCAGGAAGCAGCTTTATGTGAATCACAAAGTCGCCACACGACCAGTCGCAAAGCAGTCACAAAGCACCCATTATTGCGGCAATATAGACAAGCGCTGGCTGTTACGAGGTGAACATTATGACATAGAATATGCACTTTTATAGATGCTACAATGACAAGCTCCAGATTGATTGCAGCCAACCATGGTTCAACACATTCAACACTATGTCCGTGTGCACGCAAGCACTTGCTTACAGCTGTCCTGGAGGTTGGTCTGCGCTGTAGCCTCATCGTAAGCAGCACAATTACTGTAACCACCGCAGGGAATGCTAAAATCGGTCTATGCTACGCCTACAAATACAATGCCTATTCAATGTCCCAGCATAAAGCAGCATACAGGGTCTGTCCATAAAATTCAATGCAAAAATAGCTTCTTCCTCTGATCAGTACATATTAAGATTCTTCAAAATGATTATTTCGGGTATCAATACGCCGCTTCTAATGCGATTCCCAAGCTGAACAGTCTGCCTGAAAGGTTGGCCGTTACGACCACTGTCGGAGACATTTTGACAGCTCAATGAATGGCGGGAACACTGTTGGAAGGGTGACTCTTCCAGCTTTCTCTCAAGACTTTAGGAACAAGCACACAGCCCTGACGTGAGCCCGACAGACTTCTACCTGTTTCCAAAGCTCGAGAGAAGCTGGAAAAGTTACTGTTTTTACAGTGTTCCCGCGTCCAACGGGCTGTCACAGTGTCTCCGATGGTGGCCGTAACGGCCAACCGTTCAGGCAGCCTGGTCAGTGTGGGAATCGCGTTGGAAGCTGTGCATGAACAGCCGAGAAAGCCATTTGAAAAATGTTAATAAGTGTCCTTATCGGATCACTACATCTTTTTTTTTTTACCAGATACAGCCTCATTACCTTACAGACTTTGCAGACCAAAACAAACTCACATGCATACACATACACACACACACACACACACACACACAAACTGACCTACCGCACTGTGACAGGGAAGCGTCAGCGTAGCACCACCACTTGGGATTGGGTGAGAGACTGCCGTGTCAACAGCAGGGGTGAGGGTAGGTCACGATTGTGGGGTCAGGAGGGAATGAGGGGCACAGGCAGTGTGGCTGTCGCGGTGCCCGGGGTCAAAGGGCGTGTGAGCGCGTGTCAGCCAAAGCACACCAGCACCACACTAATCCCCGAATAGAGCACCATGCTGCAAAGCAACAGCAGCAGGTGTGGGCACGGGAGACAAAATAAAAGCACCGAATGAAGTTTTAATGAAACAGAGTTTGAATGTGCCACCACTGGCAAATGAAAAACGTGGGTGGGACCTTTCTGATGCTACTGAACAGTGAAATGATGATGTTCATAACTAAGCCAATACTACTTTTGGCTACAATTTACCCTTCTCGACATTGTCACACAACTGACAGCTTCTTTCCTTGTTTTCATATAGTGATATAAACATTGTTGTCAGTGGATGATGATAACAACGGATGAGTCGCTTTGAATTAGTATTGTTTGTTTGGCTTTGTACCTGAGAGTTTTGCATTCATAGGCTCCTCATACGAGTACACCTGTCGTGCAAGAAACTTACACCTGATGCACAACCTTTTCTATCAGTAATCATAATGCTGTTTTGAATTTGAATTGTCCCATTGATGCTTCTTCACTTTGTAGCTTATTTCTCTTTCTGCATAGGGCTTCTCTTAAAAAACAATCGTGTATATGTAAATAAACAGGAAAGGAAAGTCCACTGTTACAAATCACCATCACCCTAAACGAGCTGTTTCCCATCACCACTCGCAGGTTACACACTACAGACAGTACAAGTCACTCAAGAGAACACACAAAAAAAGAAATTGAAGTGCACAAGTACAACATATCTTTCAAGAAAGTTTTGAAATATCCAAGTCATGCAGATGTGGTAATTCCTCAAGGCCAGGTAGCAAATCTAGGAACTAGGAAGCAACGATAGTGCGATAATGTGCATATTAAACATTAACTACTGAAGTGAACAATTTCTAACAAAACAAATGCATAACATAATGTTCGCTTGTTTAAGCCAGACACTGAGCTACCTAGCACAAATAATCTTTGAAAACTGAACACGCTCGTACGAAATTCCCGCCTAGCATTGCTTCGAATAATCGTAGACTAGCACTGCTGTTTAAGCTGTGCACAGTGCCTGCTTGTAACATAGCTTTCTTAACAATCATTCCTCCTAAAGAATAAGTGAACTAGATAAACTAAGAACATAAACTACAATAAAGCTAGAAGCATGAAAAAAAAAAAAAGGCATATGCCTTTAAAACTTATTAATCTCGCAATACATGAATGCTTTTAAAGGTGTGGGCTCATTGGTATAGGATGTATTATTAACAGCTTTTGCATATCGTGACAACCTCATCTCTTTCGTTTCGTTTACTGCTGTGCTATCAGCCATTATGTAGGCTTCATACAGGCACTTTCAATTATGATCGAGCTCTGCTCGTGACTGCATTTCTCGATTGTGATTGGCTCCGTTCTTCATACTGCACGAATAAGTCAATCACAATATTGAAGCTGAATACTAAATTCAATACTGGAGAGTTACGTCCAATAAATTTATGGCACATTCGAGTGGTCATTTGAGGGTGCTATGGCCGTGTTTGAAAGTGCTAAATCCAATAGTTTTGAACCTCTGTAATGAGAACAAGCAGGTATGGAAGGCATGTTTTTCCTTCCATCATTATGTACTTGCCTGCTTAATTTAGTATTAGGCTTAGCTTCTCTTTCACTATAAATTATTGGAGCCTCTGGAGCATTCCGAAACAAACGCCCCAAAACACAATTAGTGAGAATTCTGATAGACGATGACCGGGGATGGAATATTGGGCAAGGTGGTATAGGTGAGGAGACACGAAACGGCGCTGACTTTCCACCGAAGTTTTATAGAAGAAATCATGAACATAGCAAGACAAATTAAGCACCTCATGGCCAACCCGGCCTTCACTCTTCATAGCCTTTGCAGCAGGGTGTTTTGAATTGATAGTTCAGGAGTCTCAAATTCACTCCAGCTAGAGCGCCACAGTAACGAAATTTCGTCTCGCGATGGGCAGCATTGGTGCAGGTTAGAAGGAGAGCCTTTGAAAAAAAATGGCTGCTAGCCTTTCCACCCGAAAGATGGCCTTTCCCATATCTCATGTACGGGTCATTTCTGAAGGAATTTGGTCAGACTACGAAAACATGTCGATACTTAACAAGAGAGTGATTAGTTTTGGTGGTCGATTCTGAAATAAAGAGTATTTGTTACAGGATTGTGTTTAAAACACGGCTACTGAATGGGGTCCCTCATGAAAAAAATATGCTCAAGACGAGTTGCATACGTGATGACTTATGAACATACTTAATAAGGAAATTTCGAAAAAAAAGGCAGGAAAACCAACACCTGCGAGCCGGGCCGCTAGTGAATGCGGCACAGGTTTGAGAGCCCTGTGATAGACTATAAAGGCCAAAGCCGGGTTGGTCACGTGGTGCTCAGTTTGTCTATTAATGTTTTCATCTTTTTTTTTTTTCCAATAAAACAGTTGAAAGTCAGCACTGTGACATCTGTTCCCATTCTCATCTCACTGTTTGCTGTGCTGCTAGCCAGAATGAAATGACGACATGTAACAACATGGACAAACGAATCGTCGAGAAGGCCACAACTCACAGTCGGCGCGCATGCCCATGGAGAGGCACTTGTGCAGCCGGCAGTACTGGCACCTGTTCCGGTGGTGCTTGGTCACTTGACAGTCCCGGCTACCGCGGCACGTGTACGCCAGCTGTTTGCGGATGCTGCGCTTGAAGAAGCCCTTGCAGCCCTCACAGCTCACAGCGCCGTAGTGGCGGCCCTGATGCACGGTCCCCACACACCACGCACTGTTCGACGACGTTCGACACCGGCAGCACGGACACAGCCGCCGTGGCACCACGCCGTGGCTCTTGCAGCTCGTGCAGCCGCAGTGCGAGCCACTCCGCGCCAAGCGCTGCGCCGTTTTCCTGGGTTTCACCAGACTCGGGGCTTCCGGGGCTGCTCCCATTGTCTGCGGCAGCAAATTTTAAGGGGGACACTAAGGTGAAGCAATGCATCAGTTTAGACGGATAAATTGCACTCTGAAAACTCTACTGCCATTAATTTTACCATCAACGGTTCACTAATAGAAGAAAAAAGCTAGATAAAGTATCATTTCTAAACTTTGCACCAGATCCCCCCAGGTGTCGCCACAGATTTCGAAGAGTTTTATCATGTTTTCAACACACTGGCTCTATAAAAGCTCCTGAGACTTGGTGTGCTTGAAAGTGATGACATCCTCTGAGGGGCTCTTGACTTCCTCAGAAGATAAAGCCACAGGATAATTCAAGTGATAAAGCCAAAGGATAAGCAAGAGGATAAAACCAAATTATCCTCTGAGGAGGCCTCCTCAGAGGATAATGTACTTTATTCTTACAAATACGGAATTACGTTGGAAATAGCGCATGTCATGAAACTTAACCATGTCACGATGACTGGTGCAGGAACTTCAAGGTGGTGTCGCCAACTTCACTTTATTTCCTTACCCCTTCAGGGGTATTACATAAGGGGTGGTGTTTATTAAAGCTATACAATGATGTTTTTAATGGCTTCAGAAAACATACTAGATAGGTTAATCATGGCAGAAATAGGCGTAAGGAAAGGCCGTTCCAGTATTTCAGTGCTTGTATAAAAAAGGAGGCTTCGAATGTTGCTTCATTAGCTTTTTGTGCATTTTCTCAATCACCAAGCATCTACTCGTACCATAATTTTGGTATTGTGGAAGAGCGATTTATTAATTAGAGAAAAACTGTTTTTTTTCTCCTTCTCCTCTCTAAGACAAAAGACTGATCATGAACAATTGAATATATGCTGTGCTAATGCACATTAAATGAAAATAGAGACTCTAACCTCAAAGGGTATTACAGCTGCTTAACAGCAAGACACCAAATGATTGAGATTGACACCAATTGAGTAAGAAGCTGCTGCATTTTACACCAACTCTTGCAAAATCCTGTGGCAAGCTCTGTCAGGGGGATTTGAACAGACGAGGTTTCATATGCCTAAACCACGATGTGATTATAAAGTGGGAGACACAGTGGGAGACCCTAAATTAAATTCGAGCACATAGGGTTCCTTAATGTGCACCTAAATATAAGTACACAAGTGTTCTTGCATTTCCCCCTCGTCAAAATGCAGCTGCCACTGCCAGGAAAGAATATGCTACTTCCAAGTTTAACAGTGCCGTACCTTATGTGCTAAGCTACTAAAGCAGGTGATTTGAATTTTGTTTATCAGTGCCTGTGTCATTACCTAGTTTCCTCATAGTTTTTATTGTGTGTATATATATATATATATATATATATATATATATATATATATATATATATATATATATATATATATATATATATATATATATAATGGTGGTGCTGACACCGCCTTTAAAGCTGTTTGCGCTGCGTGATGCATGTGTCTCACCAAAAAGCAGCATTTCGGGTTACAACCGCCGGGCGGTAGGTGGCGTTGTGTTAGCGTTGATCACCACTATCATCATAATATATATATATATACACACATACACACACATTTCTGGGGGCACATACACTTGTTTTAAGGCATAATATATTATGTGTATATATGTGTTAGATGTGAGCCCTAAGACCGGTGTTGTGTATCTTGTAGAATCCGCCATGTCTTGCGGAATCTTACATATACAGCAGTCGCAGCTTGGCATGGTAAAAGTAAACCGTGATGTCCTTGAACAAGGGCTTCCCGATTCCACCTTTTTTGCATCATTACACAAAAATAGCATAATCCAGTACACCTTCTCATCCTTTTTCTTCTTATCTATCTTTTTTTTTTTGGTTCGCCTGATAACGCAAAGGTGCGACTGTCGCATACAAGCTCAAAAAACACAACTGTATAGTCCAGAAAAACTTAATGAATTTCATGGACGCTAATAAATTTCACGGATGCAGTGTTTTTTTTTCTATATTCACAAATAATGGCCCTGTCTGTGGACACCCTCTTTTACCATTTCGAAATTATAAAATATTGTCGCAATGAGTGAGTGAGTAAAAACTAGTGATCCAAAAGTGGCACAGGCCATGGGTGAAAATTTTGAGGTGTTCTCTTTTCCACTAGTGAAACCTAGTGAAATACCAATTTGCAAGCTGCATCTCTTTTTCTTGCCCACATTTTTGTATGACAGTGATTATTAGAAAAACAAACAATAAAAACTACTCAAATTAAAAAAAAAAGTTTAATGTACCTGATCCCCCAGCCAGTGACGTCGGGCTGTGATGCTCCTCTTTCACATCTACAACATCTACGCTGTCTTGGGAGTCCACCGACGCCATTGGCTGGACTCCTTAAGTGCTGCTTTCAGCACTCCATGCTGCCCCGCTTGCCTGAATCTGCTGAGAGCCGGGAAAAAAGGCACAATGTCGGTGACTTTCCACGTAAACCACAAACAGGGCACAGGCTCAGGTCAGTATGACGTATTCTGCTGTACAACCACAATGTGCTGTGGTAGGCAATGTAGCCTGACATTTGACATGCACCTCTCTTCTCTGTTCTTCCCACCTTCCCTCTCCCTCAGTGTGAAGTAGCAGGCTACAGTGCACTGGCCAACACTCTCAGGATTAGTTCCGGCACCCATTTGTAAACGAGAGGTTGAACGGGAACACGGCACCACAGTAACGTGAGGGTAAAAAAATTGCAAGGTCAACATGCGAGAGTTTCGGATAAACGAAATTTCTCTGAATTAGTAGCACAAGTAGAGTGACAGTCCACATGAGGTCAAATGCCAAGGAAAAAGATCATGAAATGTCTTTCTGTTTTTGGTTTTTTTTTCGTCAGCATGTGATCACACCAGGTGTCACACCACGTGAATTTGGCAACGAAGCAGGTGGTTTACAAGACCACCCGTCCATTTCCTCATTACCAGCTGCAGCATCAACAAAGTGTGCAGCTGTGTAGGTGACACGTATTGCCTCCCGGATGCTTAGTGGGTACTTTGCAACTGTAGTTGCAGTAGGCATTCTACGAGCAGTTAAAATGGTCAATGCTACGAGCATAGATGTTCTTTTTTCGCAACGCAGCTGAAGTGTTTACCGAGAAGTGAAGCTACTGAGAAGGCAACCCAAATGGGACTCCCTTACGCTATTGAACTCCATTTTTGAAGGCAAAACTTAAAAAGGACCCAGCAACAATTTTTTAGCATGATGATGATGACGAAAACACTGCTGCCGATCGATAGTCGAGGCTCTGAGAACACACGAGGCCAAATGTTATAGTGCAGCGCATGGGCTGGAATGGGCCTTTTCTGGGTAGGTAGTCTGTGCATGCGTGCCGGCCTCGAGGAGGAACGCGCCACGATTTTCGGTCGCCCAAACGCGACGACATGTACAAACCAAGCGACTCCTAGTGCCGCAAATGTTTCCAACAAATAGAGGCGTGAAGGCAAGCCTCCAGGATTGCCTACCGACATGCAGTGGACAATTCCAGCGTTCAAAGGCCACCAGGTTTTATTTTGGCGATCTACACTTGAAATGCAGTTCAGATTTGGAAAAGGCCCATTTACAATCAATTTTCAAAGTGAGCTAGAAAATAGTTCCCTCTTCTTTTTTATATATGATGCCACATACCCAAATGACCATGCCACAAATTCATGGCCATTGGCTGATTTGAGCATCATGATCTGCATAGTTACCGAGGCCACCCCAAGAGGCTGCCACATCCCTGCGCATGTGGCCACACTGAAAGCAAGCCACACATCGAAGTAAAAAAAAAAGAAAATGTACTTAAGGTCATAATGCACACGTGCACATCTTCATCCTACCATTTCATCCCTCCCTGCTTAGGTTCCACGGCACTTGGCGGGACGGGAGAAGAAAGCACTTGTAGCGTGTGACAAATCTCCATAACTCAACTTGTACTTAAAGAATTTTAAAATATTTTGTGGCAGTGAATTCATGAAGCAATAAGCTCCTTTAATTAGGCCTTTTGATGGTTACTTCAAAAAGTGTTGCAGGTCCCCTTTAAAGCATCCTTCAAGCTTTGGAGACGTAATTTTTAGGGGCGAAGCTCCTCTTTGTCTAACTTTGTCATGCATCACACGTAACCGAGAAAAGAGACAAGAGAAAAAAAAGAAGGCAGTGTCTCCCAAACAATATAATAGACGGTGCTGTCTCATAGAAGTACATACAAACTACAGTTGAGTGAGGATATTCTAGATGGCGCTGTGCCACTACTCTTCGATTGGCTGCTGCGCGGGCTGTGCCTGGGTACACGGAGAACGAGCGCCTCTAGCTCTCAGTCTCCTAGATAGTCGCCCTACGTGGCGGATCATTGGTGGGGCACTGGGGCACGGACGAAGCAAAGCGGCGGGCGCGTTGAAGACGCTTGCACTCGGCTCGCGTCTCGTCGGTGTTACCCGCGCACCGTCTGCATTCTCAAGTGCGGTCGGGCGCATGCACGGATGGACGGACACACGGACCGACGGACGGACTGACGCTTCGCCCCACTCATCATCATTCACTTTGTGGATATGCTGCGATTTTTTTTTGTTTTCCAATACCCACATAAGAATGCATCGAATAGTAAATTTTCTTAATATTTACATTTATGCCGTGCCCACTCAACACACATATCAGTCTTAAACTAAATTCCGGCACTACTATTGGCAAGGACAGGACAAAGAAGGGCTTGGGAGGACGGTGCTTCATCCAACACAGTTGGAGCCTGACGGAGTTCTTTCTCCTATCATTGTAAAAGGCAGCGTTGGATGAAATGTTACGTACGAAATTATCACTTACTAGCCCTACAACATGTTGATTAAGTGAACACATATCAGTGTGGTATGCAAACACACACCGCTTCACAAAGCTCCTTCATTCCCGCAGTACGAGCAGCGTGAGAATAGCATGTTGCAGTAGTTCTCTTAACACGCGCATATTCAATGCGTGTCTTTTTTTTTTAATCATTTTTGACGTGTACACCTCTTGACGCGCAATAAGTGCGTACTAATGCACTGAACTTGTCTTTTTCGTTGTTTTCTTCTTTACACGTCAAAAGCGGCACACAAATATGCGCAGCTAATGCCTATCCTGCACGCAACGCGCGCGCGCCTACTCAACCAGTCAGGGCCGCACAGGCTTACACAGCAGCCGTTATATTCGCAATCGGTCTCTCTCTCTCTCGCACGAGATTATCAAATACTCTATCAAAAAAAAAAAAAAGAGAGAGACCTGCCCTCTATATGCCAGCCGAGTAATAAAAAAAAAGGACCCTGCAGTAACGCAGGTCAACGTCAGAAGAGATTGCCGTCGGGCCGGCTAGCCAGCACGCAGTAAGGTAGAGAGACCATTCAACGCAGGCGCGCGTGGCGTTGCGTGGCTAGCGCGACCTCGGAGCGGCCAAGCGCTCTCGTAAAATCGGTCAAGGCCGCCACAAACTCCGCAGCTCCCAGCGCCTTGTCTTCTTCCTCCAAAAGGCCGCGCGAAAAAAAAAAACCTCGCCCCTAACAATCTCGCCGCCGCCAGTACACGCGGCCGGATCCGTGTTCGGACAGCAGCGCTCCTGGCGGCGCACTGCTAAGCGTTAGCAATTTGTCAACGCGGCGTCATACGCAAATCTCTTGGGTAACAGCGTTACGAATACGTAAAGTACCTAAGCAGTAGTGCAGCAGGACAGTTTTTTTCGGGGGGTGGAGGGGAAAGGTTACAGTATTTCATGTAACGCAAAATTAAAAAAAAAAATCACAAGAAAAGAAGTTGACCCCCCCCCCCCCCCCGCGACGCCACAGTATCCGGAAAACGTACGCTAACGCTACGAGCACTTTTCTGAACTATTAAGCAACAATATACAGTCAAACATTAGCGTAGGCTAACATATCAGCGTACGTTGTACGTGAGTCGCCCTTCTTTGTTTCGCGCATTCCATTGCACTGTGTTCCTTCCAGTCTCGCGTTGTGCAAGAGCGATTTCTTCGTTACCAAGATAAGAAATAAAATTTAAAAAACACGCATTACGTCGAAAGCCCGTCGAAGACCAACCCGATCGCCGCCATTAGCGGTTTACGTTCGCGGCGGCACGACCACGAGGGCGCATTGCTTCCAGCGACATCCATTCTAAATCCGTGCAGCACAGAGGAAACCAGTATTGTGGGCAGCCCCGAATTTAAAAGATCAAACCCTGGCCGTCCAGAGTGCCCGGGCCGCCAAGCTCGGCTTGACGGTCCCTACGTGGGATTAGTCGCGGGAGGCGCGGGTCTCCCCTGCGTCTCCTCAGGACCAAAATGAAGTTTTAATCAAGGCGATCTGCAGGGACGCAAGCACAGGCGAGCAGACATTTGCATATATTATTCCAAATGCGCATAATCTCGAAATCGTCTCAGTTTTTCGCAAAAGACGCGCGAGAGTGGCAATCCAATTACCTGTTTCAAGGTAGCACGCTACTTCGTGACGCGCGTTAGTCAACTTGTAGAATAGGGTACACTGGCGTATCGCTATCAAAGACAGCTAAGAAAGCGTTCGCGGGGCGCGATACACTAGCTATCACCGTCATCAAACGTGGTTTAAAAGCTGGTGATACTTGAGATCCTCTTCTCTTTCGTGCATGGCGATTAAAAAGAGCGCGAAATGTGGGCACCCAGGGTGGGTTAGTGTATCACACTCATGCGCAGTGGCAGCAAACGCGAATTATAGCGTACGCAAAGCTTCGGGTACCCCACTATAAAACTCTCTATTACGTAGATTTAAAAAAAAAAAAGGTGCGCAGACATAGCATTCGTTGGGTACCCACGAAAAATGGCGTATGACGCATGCGCAGAGGCGACAAACGCAAATCCTTGCGTATACTCTGTTCTAAAACACTGCCCGCCGCCTATTTTCGGCCACTGTGAACGCTGCACGCTTTTTGGCGAGCACTTAGGTGGTCACTGCTTTTCGGAAAGGAAGAATCCGAAATCAAGACAGCCGAGTAGGAGAGGAGGAAAAGCTACCCTCTCCCCTTGTCTTTGAAAAGAAGAAAGGATAAGGGCGACCCCGTAAAGAAAGGCATCGGGGAGAGGAGGATTGGCTTGGCGCTGGCTGGCCGGACACAACGCGTGCTTTGAATGGAAAAGACAAAAAACAAAACAAAAACTAAAGCACGGAATAAGAGGGAAAAGAAAAAAAAAGAGCGCGCATAACCCGGCGAGGTCGACTGGCCGGTCGCATGAGCGGCGACGCGCAGCGTTGGCTTCGCCATGGCTGCGTGCGCCCATGCAACGCAGAGCCCGCACGTTCTACGTCAGCCGGACGGCGGGGCGCTTTGCATGCGCCGACAGCTCTTTCACGAAAGGGCAGGACAGTTGCGGACGAGGGCCACGTCATCGAAAAGCAGCGGGACGGCTTTTAGGCAGGGTCGCACGCGTC